TGATGTGTCCCGGACTGTTATGCTGAATGACAGAAACCACATACGATAGAATGCATAGTGTATGATTCCATTTAGGTAAAATGAAAACTAACCTACAGTGACAAAAAGCCTATCAGTGAGTGTCTGTGATGAGGAGTGGAGTGAAGGATGCACTGGAAAGAAGCATAGGGAATCTTTTGGGAATGAGGAAATGTTCTGTATCTTGATTGGAGGGGTAGTTTCACACTCATGGTATGTATGCTTGAAACAGATACAGTTTGTTGTAAATAAATTATTTCTCATCAAGTTGATATGGAAAAGACATCTTTAATAATCATTTCGCCTTCTTATGATGTTGTTCTTTCTCCTAAAAATGAATAAAACATAAAATTTGTGTCTAATACAGTGATTTGCACAATCAAGTCGCTAATATACCACTTTCCTACAGTCTCTTCTCATGTATCACAGTTTTTCCATTTTTTGTCCTCCACAGCTCCCCTGAGTGCAAGCAGCATAAGTCCTGTTGCCCAGAATTTGGTGCTCTAGGCGATTCTGTTTTCCCTTGAATTGAACTAAACTTCTTCAATTCTGCATTTTTCCATCTACTCATATCCAGGTGTTACTGGCTCTGTCTCAGAGCTCAAGGCAACTGAATTATTGATGCCCAGGGAGACCCTATTCAGATTCCCATCAACCGCCTGGAACGACAGGCCAGATTGGCCCAGGAAAAGTTGTCAGCCCAGAATACTGTCTTTAATGCCTAGCGCTCAGTCACAAACTCAGAGCGGGGCTCAAAGAACACTAATCCAGTCCCCGGCTTCCATTCCACCCGACCTTCACCACCAAGGCATCTTCCAGCCTCTTCTTGAACACTGCAGTGATGAGGAGCTCACAGCCAGGTTTGTTGTCTTCCTTATGATGAATCAAATCTCTCTCCCTTGCAGTTTACTCCTTGTTTCCTTTCTGGCCTCTCTCCCCACTTTCTGGGATGCCCAGAGTTCTCAATTCAACTTCCGATTGCCCACAGCCCCTTCTGCACGTCTAGGCAGCTTCCACCAGAGGGCACTCCGAGCACGGCTCAGTCCCTCCTCCGCAGGGTCGTCCTCTGCATCCTCTCTGCCCTGTGACAAAGTGTCAGCCCACCTAATCCCTGACAAGAGATCCTTAATTGTCATTTCAGATTACTTAGTGCTTTAAACCCAAATAAAAGTAGATAGATACCTGGGAGTAGAATTGCTGGATTATATGGTAACCCTATATTTTACATGTTCAGGAACTGCCAAACTGCTTTCCAAAGATGTTGCACCATTTTATGTTCCCACTAACAGTGGATGAGGGTTCTGATTTCTTCCCTTCCTCCTCAACACTTGTTACTGTCTGTCTTTTTAAATTGTAGCTATTCTGGTAAGCGTGAAATGGTGTCTCATTTTTTTTTGAGTGGCGGTTTTGATTTGCATTTCCCTGATGATTAATGATGTTGAGCATCTTTTATGTCCTTATTGGACATTTCTATATCTTCTGTGAAGAAAGGTCGATTCAAATCTTTTATCCATTTTTAATTGGGTTATTTGTCTATTTATTATTGAGTTGTAAAGTTTCCTTATGTATTCTGGATATAAGTCCCTTATAAGATATATGATTTGCAAATATTGCTTCTCAGTCTGTCCGTTGCCAATTTATTTTCTTGGTGGTGTCCTTTGAAGTACAAATTTTTAATTTGGATAAAATCCAACTTGCCAATCTTTTCTTTTATTGCTTGTGTTTTTGGTGTCATATCTAAGAAATCATTGCCTAACCCAACATCATAAAGATTTATTCCTATGTTTGCTTCTACATGATTTTATATTTTAGCGCTTACATTTACCTTCATAATTCACTTTCAGTTAATTTTTGTTTATTGTGTGAGATAGGGGTTCAAGTCCATTCTCCTGCATGTGAGATCTAGTTGTCTCAATATAGATTTGCTGAATGAATGAATGAAAAGTTTGACTTGTCTTCAGAGATACGAAGCACCTAGGTTTTTCCTATGATTCTTATAGGCTACAGGAAAATAGTGAATCTATTAAACTGGTGCCAGACAGAACAAATCTACCTAAAATATTTCTAAGGCTTTTAGAATGAAGAAGAGAGTGCATTAGAACTGTTGACAAAGTGTGATGGCACTTCAGCCACATTAGACTCTGCTAATAATTCTGCCAGTAGCCAAGTGCCCCCACTTGGGAAGGGTTAGAGTATTCATAGCACCTGTAAATTCGGGAAGAAGAACACCTTGTTTGTGGGGGAAGAGCAGACTTCAGCCAAATTGAGAAGACCAGATAAAAATTACATAGTCCCTAGAGTCCAAATGACTACTATATATAAGACAACAGTCCTTATTTTCATCTTTAAAATTTTCTTTTTTTTAAGATTTTATTTACTTATTTGACAGAGAGAGAGAGAGAGAGCACAAGCAGGGGGAGTGGGAAAGAGATAAGTAGGTTCCTCGTGGAGCAGGGAGCCCGATGCCGGGCTCAATCTCAGGACCCTGGGATCACAACCTGAGCCGAAGGCAGACACTTAACCGACTGATCCACCCAAGCGCCCCTCATCTTCAAAATTTTCTATCCCAAATTTTCAATTAAATATATTGGGACTTTTGTCCATCTTTAAAATTCATCTCTGGTTTCATAATGGCCATAAGGAAGACCTAGTTTAAGTGCTGCTTCTGTGAACCTTTCCCAGACTCCTCTAGGTAAGTCAGCCCTCAGAATTCCGGCTACCCTGGCTTTCCCAAATCCTCAACTCTGTTTTATCAATTCAGGGAGGCCGCTGGCTGTTTGGGTTTCCCTTCCCTGTGTTGTGGCTTGGAAAAAGATTTTTCAATCAATAAGCTTAGGAAATTGTGGGCTCACCTTGTTGATTTCCCTTTGCTCAGTAACCAGTCATGCACTGTCTATTGTTCAACATTCGAACATTGTTTCATATATTTTTCTCGTATTTTAGTTATAAATTCAGTCCTGATTTTTATAGCATGACCATTTGTGGATGTCTCATGTCACAAATTTTGATATGTCATGTTTTTCATTTTCATTTTAGAAAATGGGGTTTGAACTCACAACCCTGAGATCAAGAGTGGCAGCCAGGCACCCCTGATTCAAAACATTCTAATTTATTGTGCAATTTCTGCTTTGACATATAGGTTATTTGAAAGTGTAGGGATAATGTCCACAGAGAAAGGTGGTGAAATTTGATTACAATTATGGATTTATTCCTACTTCCAGTTATATAAGTTTTTACCTATATATTTTGAAACTCTGTTATTGCATACAAATGCATACAATTTTAGTTTTGTCTTTTTGATAAATTGGCTTCCTTATCATGATGCAATGTCTTTCTTGTCACTTATAATATTCCTTGCTCACCACTCTGGAAAACAGTATGGAGGTTCCTCAAAAAGTTGAAAATAGAGCTACCATACCATCCAGCAATTGCACTACTGGGTATTTACCCCAAAGATACAAAAGTAGGCATCCGAAGGGGTACGTGCACCCCAATGTTTATAGCAGCAATGTCCACAATAGCCAAACTGTGGAAAGAGCCAAGATGTCCATTGACAGATGAATGGATAAAGAAGATGTGGTATATATATACAATGGAATATTATGCAGCCATCAAAAGGAATGAGATCTTGCCATTTGCAACGATGTGGATGGAACTGGAGGGTATTATGCTGAGTGAAATAAGTCAAACAGAGAAAGACATGTATCATATGACCTCACTGATTTGAGGAATTCTTAATCTCAGGAAACAAACTGAGGGTTGCTGGAGTGGGGGTTGGGGTGGGAGGAATGGGGTGACTGGGTGATAGACACTGGGGAGGGTATGTGCTCTGGTAAGCGCTGTGAATTGTGCAAGACTGTTGAATCTCAGATCTGTACCTCTGAAACAAATAATGCAATATATGTTAAGAAAAAAAAAAGAAGAAGAAGATAGTAGGAGGGGAAGAATGAAGGGGGGAAATCGGAAGGGGAGATGAACCATGAGATGATGGACTCTGAGAAACAAACTGAGGGTTCTAGAGGGGAGGGGGGTGGGCGGATGGGTGAGCCTGGTGATGGGTATTAAAGAGGGCATGTTCTGTATGGAGCACTGGGTGTTATGCACAAACAATGAATGGAATTTAAGAAATAAAAAAAAGAGAGAGACAAAGCAAAAAAAAAAACAGAAGGGAACAAACTGATGGTTACTGGGGGCAGGTAAAATAGATGAAGGAGATTAAGAGTACAAGGAAGGATCCTTTTCTTTGGGGCCTCGGGAGTAAAGGAAAACAGAGACCATGAAAAGGGCAAAGCCGTGGGTGCTTAATCCTCTGGAGGCTCTCATCTCCCCACTGGCCTCACAGACCTTGGAGGCAGCTACACACTTCTCAGAACAATTCCTTCACCTCTTTCTCACAAGTGTCACTGATGCACAGACTTAAAACCGTCTTTATGAGGTGAGTGGACAGAATTACAATTAAACTCTTTATTGTGAGGCTCAACCATGTGGCATGTGTTTAAAGAAACTCAGCATCTTTGCTTGTGAAAAAGGAGCTCTGAGAAGAGCTTATTCTCTCTCCCAGAGGGATTCTTTCCCTGGGAGGATAAGGAAGGGATCAGACTTACGCAGGCCAAGACCAGGGAAGGGAAGGAAGCTCACTCTGTCAGGAGAGGCCCCCTTTCCCAAGGCCCTTTCCCTGACTTCATTGCCAACCTTCCCCTGCCTCCACCCCGCTCCTCCGGCAAAACTCCCCACCCTCCTCTCTCTGCTCTCCTCCAGCTCCCAGCCAGCCTGCCATGTGGGAGAAGGTCTTGGATAACCCTTACCTAGCCTCGGCCTACACTGAGCAAAGCCAAACCCTGAAGCCACGAAGGTGAGGACAAAAGGAACCAACACAGGTTAGTACATATTTAACCTTCTTCAACAATGTATTTCACTCATCCAAATCCCAAGCTCTGGTTGGTGGGAAGAAATGAGACTCGATACAAAGAACATGCAACCTTTTAAGATCACAGTTTAATGGACTTACAGAGAGAATGAGCAAATCTCTTAGAAATTAAATCCACTCAGTGGCTATTAAATCATCCAAGCACCCACATTACCATCTGGCACCATGCCTCTTTCTTTTATCATGGGATAATATAGATGCTATAAAACAATCAACAGCCTTTTCTAGAAGGTTTTGCTTAACATTTATTGTTACCCTCGCTTATTTGCTTTGCCTGGACCTCAGCCCACAGTCTATTAGAGAATCAAAGGCCAGGCAAAAAGGAAATGACTCTTCAATCCATTCCTTCACGTGCCAAGAGCTTTATCCTTTGATTCTTGGTGAGATTACCATAAGGTTACCACAAAAAGTCAAGGCAGCTATTGAAAAACTGCAAGGCAGTAAAACCATAGGCTTATTTATTTGTTCCTGAAAGGGTTAGACCACCTAAATCACTATTTAATTGCAAAGTACTCATTAGAGGTCTTTTTTTCCTTTTTGAATGCAGGACAGCCAGTGATGCGCCTTTGGGAGATAAGCCTTGGGGGTAAAGGGAACTTGTGACTTGAAGCTTCTTCAGACTGAACACAACTGTCATCTCTTCTACAGCATGATCTCTACTACACCTTTGTTTTATGAAATAGGTTCATGATAGGGTATAGCCTGATCCTCTCCACAGAGTGAGGGCAACAGATCCCACAAAATGGACATGACAATTGGTAGATTTCTGAATCTCTGGCTATTTTTCTCCTGCATGAGTTCTTCAGAAATCTAAATGGCGACCCTTAAAGGGCAAGAATCATGTCTCAACAATATCCTCCCACCCCTTACCATTTTCCATATTTTAAATAATAAATGACTGCAGAGTGAATGAGTGTGTTCAGGCCTTAAATTCACACCCATCTCTAGGCTGTGCTAGGTCTCTCTTCTAAAAGCCTGCTATGCCCTGAGAAGATAGACTTCTGATCCTTAAAGGGATAAGGGAGGATGGCTGTTCTGACCAGCTATGTGACCCTGGGAGGCACTTCAACACTGTGGGTCTCAGCATCTCCATCTATTACATGAAGGGGTGGGACTAGTGGATGTCTTAAATGTGCTTCAGCTCTTTAATTCTGAAGACAAACAGAACACTACAACATCTTCTACAAGGTCAGTAGGAAAACATTCCCTCCAAGAAAATTTTAGTAAGAAAATTTAGTAAGAAGCCACTGTCATATTTTAGTCCCTGGTTTCAAAAACCACTCCACAGAAACCTAAATTAGCCATATCTTCGTAGCATTCTAGTTTTAGGAGAAAAGGGAAATACGTTTAGGGATGAGCACATCTTCCCTTCAGACTTTTATTGTACTCAATCTGCATACATATTCTAGCCCAGACAGAGAAAACGGGTTGAAAACAATGGCCTTAGAGCACTGAGAATACCTCAGCTATCAAGGGAAGAGTTAAGATTATGTGAATTTTATTCTACACTATGCTTAAATTAAGAAGGTCCACATGAGGGGCACCTGGCTGGCTCATTTGGTAGAGTGTGGCACTCTTGATCACGTGGTCATGAGTTCGAGCCCCACGTCAGACTAAAACATAAATAAATTTTTAAAAAGCAAGGTTCACGATCATGTAAACTTGAAAGGACAATAGGGTTTTTTCAATTTCCAAATATGTAAATTACCTTATTAAATCAGGGTTGGCCTAAAAATTCTAGAGAGCACCCTCTTGTGGCAAAAAAAAAAAAAAAAATGCAATCACTGAATGGCAGTTTTGTCCCGAGATTGCACCTACTGGGCAAAAAGGAGCTGCCGTTCATTGAGCACTTACTATATTTCAAGGACTGGCCCAGATATTTTATATGGTAATAAGATAAAGGTTTTAATAAAGGCAGTTTTCAATGTCATGGAGAGAATTGGAAGTCTTTTATTTCACAGAGCCCAAGCTACACCTTAAGATTTATGTCACTAAGATATTAGGGATGGCATCTAGCCTTAGTACATTCTCCAGCACCTTTCCTACACCTGTTTGCAGTTCTGAGCTGTGGTTGAGAAACCATTTAAGTTATATTTATCTTTTGTTTTCAACTGAGAGCCCCTAATTTCAAGTTGACAAAATGAAGAGAGAAGAGCAAAAAGGAAGCAATACTTTTTTAAAAAGAAAGAAAGAAAGAAAGAAAGAAAGAAAGAAAGAAAGAAAGAAAGAAAGAAAGGAAGGAAGGAAGGAAGGAAGGAAGGAAGGAAGGAAGGAAGGAAGGAAGGAAGAAAGAAAGAAAGAAAGAAAGAAAGAAAGAAAGAAATGCAAACAACAACAACAAAAACCCCACAGCTCCACAACTCAACACCTTATAAAAATCCTCATGAGCCCAGGGATCTTTCAATTCAAACAAAATTACTTAATATCCGTGATTTGAGAGGCATTTAATAAACAAAAAAACCAGAAAAACATTTATATGATTACAGTTTGTATTTTTCAGTTATATATATCATCCTCAGACCTTTCAAACGTCTTGTTTCTTATACAGTGAATTTCTGTACTTAGCACCTCACCTGATAAAATTGGTGTTCATTTCCCAAAAGGGCTTGCTAAACATGACCGACGCTTGCCATGAACCTGAACCTGAGGGGATAAATGTTTTCCTATATTCTGATTCTGAGTGTTCAGCCCCTCCCTTAAAGAGCCCAGTGTCTGAGGACCCACCTAGGGTGACCCCTCCACCAAGGCTGCAAATTCTAATACGGACTAGCTGATCAGTCCCCACTCTTAGCAGGTTCCGTGGGCCCACAGCCTCCAACGTTTCAAGGGAAACTGAAATGTAGAGACCTAACTTTGAAATTTTGGAAACTTCTAATGTTAAAAAAAAAAAAAAAAGAAAGTCAAACTATGTGTTGAATCCCTGTCTGACTGAGCCAAACAAAAGAGGTTTTCTGCCAGCCACAGGCCTCTGGTGGTGGCTTTCAGCCTGCGCCCTTAGGGACTTGGAGGACTGATGTTCAGGCTGCCCCTAGGAAATGTTGAGGACTTGCCATGAAAAAATAGAAGAAAAGTTGCCGAGCACTTCTGAAATGCTTCCGTGTCACTTGAAACTTCCTGTCCAGGCAAGCAACCTATGATCTTGCTCAGTCATTTCCCTTCTTTGACACTCTCTCATTATTTGGATATTTCCACAGGTTTCCAAGAATATCAGAGCGGGCAGTGTCTACTGTAAAACACTTTTTTACTATCTCAGTCGCCAACCAGAGTCAGGCCTCTCTCTTTGTGGTCAAGAAACCTGACCTTCAATAAACCCCACACCAGTTTTCTGGGATATCTCTGACAGGGATCCTGGAAACTTCAGGAAGCCAGAGGCACTGAGACAATGCACAAATTTGAAATGGGGTCAATGCCTCCTTGCACCTTCAGCAATTATGAAGAGAGGGCTCCTCTATTAAAAGTCCACTTCATCATCTCACATCTTTCATAATTAACTGAGGGAGAGGAAAGTGTGACTGGGTTTTCATTTGGGAGTAGATTTGCTCGGGGTCCATGCAGCTCCAGAATTTCAATATCTGCTCATTTGTATGGGCGTAAAATATGTACCTTTAATAAATTCTACAAACACTGCCCTCAACTGAAAACTTCCCCGGCCACAGGGCTGTCTTACATTGACACAAAGCAGGTGTTAGGCCACATGTACTTAGATCACCCCAAGAAGAAAAGGCATAGGGAAGTTTTGCACTTTCTAGGAGGACTAGATAAAGAGCAGACAGATGCCTCTGTGTGGAGAAGAGCCTTGTGGAAGCAACAACAGGAGATCAGGAGAGAGACCCCGGGAGGGTGCAGGACACATGAAATAGCCACCTCACAGAATCTCCAGGCCGGCTGTCAGAACACAAGAGGCCTCCTGGTATAGATAGACACTGGAACTTTAAAAGTTACAGGCTCATCAGCTTGATGGTGTTCAACAGTCATGTAGGAGCTTTTAGTTCCTTCTTTATCTGGTTTCTTCAAAAAATAAATGGAATGAGGGCCTTCCGAGATTTGGGATAGTCCTCAAACATCTTGAGGTAGAACCTAAAAGACAAGAAAGGAATAACTATAGTAAGCAGTGGTCAACCATTGAGGTTTGCTGGGTCTGAGATCCTTGTTACAAAGCAAGCTACAGTTACTCAGGGCCTGACTCGTGCAGATGGCCATTTGTCCATCTTCCTTCTCCCTCCTGCATCCTCTCCCATAAATAAATGTTGAAGTTTCTTGTGTTGGGAAATAAAAAGTAATAGCCAGAGGACTGTGGTGATGGTTGCACAACATTATGGATGTACCTAATGCCACTAAATGGTACACTGAAAATGGCCAAAATGGTAAATTTTATGTTATGTGTATTTTATCACAATAAAAAAAGGGAAAAGCTGGAAGGAACTGCTCAATGGATTCACTTGGGTTGAATCAGAGAGCCCAAAGACCATGAGCAAGATTAATCCTAGAGAACTGGCAATGTTCCCAGGAAAATATCCCCTCATGAGGCCTTGGGAATGCCAAGAAAATGTTACCTCATATTCTGGGTTGAATTGTGTCCCCCCAGAATATATGCTTGAAGTCTTAACCTGGAAGACTTACCTGGAAATAGGGTCATGGCCGATATGATTTAGTAAGGTAAGATAAGGGCATCCTGGAACAGGAAAGGCCCTTAATCCAGTGTGACTGAAGGGGACCAGAGACAAGCAGGGGAGGAGGCCATGTGGACATGGAGGCAGAGACTGGGGATGGAGCTGTAGACCATGGAACACACTGGGTTGGGGGTGCAAACAGAAGCCAGGAGGAGGCAAGGAAGGATCCTCGCCTAGAACCTCCAACATACACTTTGATTTCAGACTTCTGCCTCCAGAACTGTGAGTGAATAAATTTCTATCATTTCAAGCCACTCGGTTTGTGGTCATCTGCTTTGGCAGGCCTGGAAGATTTTTTTTTTTTTTTTAAAGATTTTTTTTTTATTTATTCATTTGAGACAGAGAGAATGAGAGAGAGAGAGCACATGAGAGGGAGGAGGGTCAGAGGGAGAAGCAGACTCCCTGCCGAGCAGGGAGCCCGATGCGGGACTCAATCCCGGGACTCCAGGATCATGACCTGAGCCGAAGGCAGTCGCTTAACCAACTGAGCCACCCAGGCGCCCCAGGCCTGGAAGATTAGTACATGTGGTGAAGTGGCTTTCTCCTTCAGTGACCAGGCTGAACCAGCTAGTTGAAGCTGGTAGCTCTTGAGTGAAAATCACGGGCAGTAAACAGTAATAATATGTGACAAGAGGTGGCTGGTTTCTCGCGCTATGCTTAGCGAGGTCTGATGAGTTGCTTCTCACAAAGCCCAGTTATCCCCACAGAAAAGATGCCTGGCCTTCCTTATGGAGCAATCTGACCTCACAGGTCAGGGCCAGAGTTTGGATTTTGCTGTTGCACCTGCTGGAGACCTGGTGGAACTCCTGTCCCTCCCCTGACTGGCCCCACCTGAGACCACTTCCCACGGTCCCTCCGACTGCTGGGTGACGCCCTCTCTGCCCTCTCCCTCTCCGCCTCTGGTGGGCAACAGACTCTGCCTCAAGAGAGGAGAACGAGGACTGTCTTACAAGCTGGGGACGCCCTTGCAGCCCGTCCCTACCAAGGCTAGCAGGTGGCCGGCGCCCGTCATGAGGACAGCTGCTATTTCATTCATTTCTGACACGTCTGCGTAAAGTCCACTCTGAGGAAAAGAACCCATTCTTGGTTTAACCTTCAAAACTACAAAATTAATCATTAGCCCGACTAAAACACCCATGCAGGAGCTTAAGGGGTCCCCCAGGTCCTGGTTCCAAGGCTGCTCCCCCTTTGGCTATCCCTCCCTCGCTCTGTGTCTCTCCAGCCGCAAATGCCATTTTAGAGAAAGGATCTGAAGTTCAAATGCAAAACCCGATAGCAACTTAGTGCATTACTCTTCCCCTTGCAGTGATGCTTTTAGTTAATGCTTCTGTCCCCACCCCATCGCAGGTACAGGGTCTGGGGGGGCAGGTGGAATTTAGTAAGGCTTTAGGCTAGACCTACAGAGGAAAGGTTCTAAACCCCTACAATTCCTGGCATTCCCCAGGTGAGGGGACAGTCCTGCAATCACACCACATAAGCATTCACTTACCCTACCTTCCCAAGAAGCCAGCAATGACCTTGGCTAGGCTTTATGGAGGGTGGGGTTCACGGATAAAGGGGAGTGCCAGAATAAGCCCTGGTGTCACACAGATTCCAGGAGAATAATCCTGGAGTGTCCAGGGCTCTGTGATTACCTGAACTATTAGCACCAAAGCCAGAATTAAAGATAGTAGCCACACTAGACCAGAGGCTAGGCTTCTCCCTGGCGGTACTTCATCGTGGCTGGACCTCAGGATTATCCGTGAAGCTGTGGACAGTGCTGCCCATGGGACACACTTTGAGAGATGTGGCAGAAGTGAATTTGAATTGAAGCATGGAAATGGAAGATACTTCTTGGACCTCTGGACCCTTACCTAGAGCCCACGCAGGTGAGCCTGCTAGGAGGGCACAGAGCCCAGGCCAACTAACTCCTAACTTCCTTGCCCAGAAGCCTTCTTCTGTAAGGTGGCAGGTGGCTTCCCAAGACACCTCGGGTGTGCCTCTCCCTACATGGGTTTAGTTTTACTCATAGGAAAAAAAAAAAAAGTGTTTACGATACTGTCACCCAGCTGAATTCCAAGTTCAAAGTCAGAATTTACCAGTCCGGATTTCTGTATCAACCTTACCTTATAAAAATACATGTCTCAGGTTTCTATACCTGACTCGGAGTGCTGGAAGACGGCTTGGAGCAGAAAGCTATGTGATGAATTGAGAAATTTACCTGTGGTGGTGGAAGGCTCGCAGCCCCAGGAAACAAAGTGAGAAAAACGCAAACGCAAGTGCTGGGAGGGACCAAGTGGCCAGGGCATAGCCCGTCCATTCAATGACCTCACCAAGGAAATTGGCTCCGGAAACATACGTAAACAAGCCACCTGCGGGCAGAAGAACGGAAAGGTCCGTCATCAGAACCGGGTCACTGCCACATTCAAACCCCTCTGCTTCGTTCCAAAGCACATAAAGGCAGTTATGACAAATGTGGGGCTGGAGACTTCCTTATGGTCATCGCAGCCTGGCGCAGTCCTCTTGGGGAGAAGGATAAACACAGTGACAACAGCCTGTTGCCCTCAGAACTTCCCGGAATCATGGCCCCAACCGCTTGATGGGCTCCAGCCAATCTCTAGCAGCGGCTGCTGCACCCCTTGGCTCCAGGCAAGACAATGATGAGGAGCAGGAGGCCGGGTTTTCGTTTTGTTCCCAAGCCACCTCTCACCTTCTCACCTCTCCCCTGGACGCCCGCACAGCATATTTCAGGTGGGTACTCAGACAAAATGAACAACCCGCTATGTGACAATAATAAAAACCTGTGTTGATGCTAGAAGTAATGACATTTTCCTGTGGCATTTGCCCCTCCCCACCCCTGCAAAGGAGTGTATATACTCTGTTCAAGTTGAAGGAAGTGAGTGGGAGCTGCAGGGGCTTTGCCCTCCTGGGGGCTGGTGAGGTCTGCTTCTGCTGATTTTCAAGGTTTGCTTTTCTATCCAACCATACATGTCTGATATCAAACCTGTAAATAGAAACCAACACATTTCCAATGATAGTTAATGTATCCACTTTCTGCCCTACAGTAAACTAGTTTTTTTCTTTCCATAGTTATATAAAGAATCTTTTGTATTTAAATCATTCTGTAACATACCTTAATAGTTGGAAACTAACTTTGACAATCTAGCTTTTAAGAGAATTCTCTGCTCTTCTTTGTTTGGCTAATTATTGAGTGAATATTTAAAATCCCAAAGCTCCTTCAAGTTATCTTCCCTAAAGATGTCACTATGTCAGCAGCTCCAGACCTGTGATCTCCCAGACCCTGGGAGAAACCACTGACCTCCCACAGAGGGTCTATAAATTGTTGCTGGTATATGGGCCTATAAATTGCAAACAGCATATCTCAATATTTGGCATTATTTTTGTTTGATGTAGACACCATGAGGATGTCAGCAACATTTAAATTCATTTAAATGTGTTACTGAATTCATTGTAGCTCTGTCATTATTTTATTAATAAATGAATATCAATGTCATACTGTAATTCAGGAAAGATTTTAAAGTAAATAACAGGTTCTATTTACATCAAAAGGAGCCATCAACCTACCCAAATACCACCTAAAATAGCAAAGGATTACTTGGACTAATTCACTCTCACCTGCTTATGTTTGTCAACCTCGCACCTGGTTTCTTGGGAACAGTTAGGATTTCAAATATTCTGTGACTTTATATCTGAGAAAGCATTTGCACTTGTAAGACCTCCCATCCTAATTTTTGATTAAGTAATTATGGCTCTCCATACCTTTAAGAAAATACAAGTGGCAGGAAATGTGTACAGTACCACCCCTGACTACTCACTAGATGAGTCTAGGTCAACCGGAGAAGACAAGTAATACACAACTCAGCTTTATTGGCTAATTCATGAAGGACCAACACAGCGGGTACACATGATGCTTAATTTTCTGTGTTAACCTGACTGGGCTATAGCATGCCTAGATATTTGATTAAACATTATTTCTGGGTATGTCTGTGGGGCTGTTCCTGGATGAGATTAACATTTAAATCTATACACTGACTAAAGCAGATCTCCCTCCCCGACGTGGGTGGGCCTCATCCAATCCATTGAAGGCCTGAATAGAACAAAAAGGCCAAGTAAGGGAGAGTCCACTCTCTCTGCCTGACTGTCTTTAAGCTAGGACATCAGTCTTCTCTTGCACACAGACTAGAGCTTACACCACCTACTCTCCGGGTCTCCAACTTGCTGGTAACAGATCATGGGATTTCTCAGCTTCCATGATCACGTGAGCCAATTCCTCATAACAAATCTCCTTATGTTTCTATAGCTGTATCTATATCCTATTGGTTCTGTTTCTCTGGAGAAGCCTAGTACAGTACATGGTAATCTTACCTACTGTAACGAGGTGGCAGCCTATTTCCACCTTACCCCAAGCCTTGCACTCCCCCACCCTCAAGGTATTATGATGTTGCACATTCCCGAGGGTGCCTCTAGCTGAACTTCCAGGTTTAGATCAGAAAAAGCAAACGTGTTGTAGGCTGGGAGGGGATGTGAAGGAGAAGTCAGAGGCAAACTGGGATATATTGTGTCATCTGCCCTCACCGCAACCTCTCCATTTGCTACTCATAGCATAACCTCTGGGACAGGCTCCCAAGGAAGAGTGGAAATTTGGAGGACAGGGGAGATATTACCTTGCGGAATCCTATAGATGACTTCTCCAGGCTTCCTGAGCTGGCGCAATATGTAGTCACTATGAATGTTGATTCCCATTCCCAAAATAAATAAGAAGACACCTTAGCAAAGAAGACAGAGGGAAGAAGTTAAAAATGTATCCTGGTGGGGTGCCTGGGTGGCTCAGTCGGTTAAGCATCTGCCTTCGGGTCAGGTCGTGATCCCAGGGTCCTGGGATCGAGCCCCGCATCGGGCTCCCTGCTCAGCGGGGAGCCTGCTTCTCCCTCTCCCTCTGCTGCTCCCCCTGCTTGTGCTCTCTCTCACACACACTTTCTCTCTCAAATAAATAAATAAAATCTTTTTTTAAAAATGTATCCTGGTTAAAAAAAAAAATGTATCCTGGTTTTGATGTTTTTCTCACAAGCTGGTTTTTTTTTTAAGTGAAGAGAAGTGCATTTAATTTCAAATTCTGAGAACGTTACAAAGATATGGCAAAGGGTGGCTAATTAGCCGTTGTCCCAAATGTGGGTGGAGAGGCCATATGTGCATAGACCAAAAGACTGAAAGTATACAGTGTCACAGGATGGAGGCAGGTGGGAGAGGAGAGAAAGGGAACAACACCATTGTCCAATGAATAAATGAATAATAGCAAACTTTTGGCTCATTCCCAAATAATTAAATTGTGGTTGGCAAACTCAACTGCTAATTCCAAACCCTCCTCCTTTGCCTTCCCCCACTATAGAGGCTGGAAGGCTGAAAAGTGGTCATGTGACCTATTTTTGCCACAGCGATATAAAGGGAAATTTCCTTGGAAATTTTTACTTTCCTGATAAAAGGGAAGATGGGACCAGTGCCTCTACTGCCTTCCTCCCCTTTCATTGCCAGATGTGATGCCTTGAGCTCTAGCAACTGTCTTGTAATCATGAAGTGAATATGATGAGGACCACAGGTAAACATGTTAAGAACAGTGGAATAGAAAGTATAGGAAGTTCCTGGGATCTTAATGATATCTGTAAGCAACTAAAGGAATGCAGAAGCCACCTACCTTTGGACATTCTTGTTATGTAAGAAATAGACATTTTTAATTATTTAAGTCACTATGAACTGGTTTTCTGTGACTCACTGCTGAGAGCATTCCTGAGTGATATACCCATTCTCATGAAAGTAACATGAATCAGACTGGGGAGCCTGGCACCTAGCAAACTGGCTTCAACCACTGCCAGTTCACACATAGTCTTGTTCCCCATTTACTGGCTCAGAAAGAAGCCCGGGTCTGAGGTGAGGAGAGCCAGGATCAGGGATGTGAGGTCTTGCACCCCAGTGGGCACCATGACACCCCAGAAACACTCACTGTTCCACATAGATGCCCAACCTCCACCTCTCAACAATGTGTATTTGTGCTGATCAAAATACATGAGGCAAAAAGCAAGAACACTTGAATTAAAAACAGATCTCCTCTCACCTCATTTGCTACGACAGGAAACAATGAGTCTTGTCTAGTCAAAAGATCACTGGCCGTTGTATGGTGACAAGTGGTGACTACACTCATCTTGGGGAGCACTGAACAATGCACAGAATTGCTGAATTACTACGCTATGCATCTGGAAACTAATATAACATTGTATGTCAACTATGCTTCAATAATAAATTTTTTAAAATATTGGCCTGGAAGAAAGGGAAACTAGGGAGAGACACCAATGGCAGGAGGTTGAAAGAAGGAGGGGAGACAACAGGCACAGCTGGAGACAAAGCAGAAACCTTAGACTCAAGGTCTGTGTGTCCTTGGGCAAGTCACTGACCTCTCAGCCTCTGTTTTCTCATCTGTAAAACGGATTTGAATAGTACCTGTTTCACAAGGATGGCACAAGACTCACTCATGTGTTCACTTGTTCATTCATTTATTCATTCAACCAATATTGAGAGCTTATAATACACCAAGCGTTGTCTTAAACACCAAGGATACAGTAGTGAGAAAACAGTCAGGGTATCTGTTCTCATAGAGCTTACATTTTAGTGGAATAAGACAGAAATGAATTCAAATAACTAAAATATTTTAAATCATATAATGTCACTGCAGAGCAGAAAATCACAGGATCAGGAGATAGAGAGTGAACCGGGGAGGGGAGGAGGTGTCTCTACTTAGATGAGGTGGATAGGGAAAACTTTTCTGAAGATTTGGCATTTTGTCCTGTGATCTGAATAATAAGAATGCACAGATCTGAGGGAGAGCAATCTGGTATAGGGATTAGCAGGTGCAAAGGCCCTGAGGCTAGAATAGGTTTACTCTGTCTAAAAAAACAGAAGGAAGGCTGGTGTAGTTGAGACTTTAAGACAGAGAGAAAAGTGGGAAAATGTGGACAGGATGATAACTAAAAAAACACACTAAGCACTGTAGGCTTTGGTGAGGAGTTTGGATTGTTAAGTGCAAGAGAAAGCCATTGGCAGGTTTGGAGCAGGGGAGAAATAGGAAATGATTTCCATTTATTATTGTTACAAAGGAAGTAAATATGTTACATGGAATACTAAATGTGAATTAGCAAAAATAAGAAAATCCAGACACCTTATTCCTACCACCCAGAAATTATAACCATTAAACACGTTAGTGCATATCTTTCCAGATTTTCATCTTATATAATATCTAGGCCATATTTCCATTTCCCCAGATGGCCCCAAAATGCTTCTTATGGCTGGTTTGTGAAAACCAAAGTCCAGTATAAGACCATACCTGGCATCTGGTCATTATCTCTTTAAAGGCCATTTTAATCTTGCCCAGACCCTTTCCCTTTAAAAAAAAAAAAAAAAATTTTTTTTTAATTTATCTGAGAGAGAGAGAGAGAGGGGTATATGCGTGCATGCAGGTAGAGGGGCAGAGGGAGAGATTCTTCAAGCAGACCCTCTGCTGAGTGCAGAGCCCAACGCTGGGCTTCATCTCATGACCCATGAGATCATGACCTGAGCCAAAACCAAAAGTCAGATGCTCAACCGACTGAGTCACCCAGGTGACCTGACCCTTACCTTTTTAAAAAATTTTTAGGGCACTGGCTTCTTAAAAAGACACCAGACAGTTGTACCTCAGAATGCCCCCCTTTCTAGATAAGACTGGTTCACTTCCTGATGGTGGCATTCAACTTATCTCTTCATTCTCCTTATTTCTTGTAAACTAACATAAATCATTTTCCTGTATGGTTATATTACCAGTTCAACATATAGTTAGGTACATTTATTGGTTTGTTCTCAGTTTTAGGGTCTTCCATGTAGACTTTTTTTGAGTTTTATTTACTTAAGTAATCTCTGCACCACATCGGGGGCTCAAACTCACGACCCCAAGATCAAGAGTTGCTCGCTCCACCAACTGAGCCAGCCAGGGTCCCCCATTTAGATTTTTTTAAACGAAATTATTAAGTTTCATGATTTAAAGGGCAAAATCATATTGAAAGAAAAGTTCTGCCTGCCATCCATTATCTTTCCCCCAGACCTAAAGGTCATCTTTTTAAAATTAGTTTCTTTTTTTATCAATCCGATATTCCCTTTTCTAGTTTTATACACACACACACACACACACACACACACACATTTTCCTTCCATCCTTTCTACATGAAAAGTAGCATTCTAGATACACTGTTCACACTTTATTTTTATTTAACCACATATTCTGGAGATACTTCACAGGAACACAGAGATCTTCCTTGTTTTTGTTTTGTTTGTTTGTTTGTTTGTTTCTGGGGCTCCAGAGCACTCCATTGTGTGCATGTTCAGCATTCATACAACCAATCCTCCAGTCATTTGTGTTTTCAAACATTCCCTCTGACTGCTGTGTGCAGAAGGGGCTATTGAAGGCCGGTACCGGCGGCAGGAAGCTTAGTGTGAAGGTCACTTTGGCGGTCCCAGCAAGAGGCCATCAAGGCTCAGACCAGGACCAAGTCGGAGGCGCAAGGGAGAAGTGAGCCCTGTGGGTACATGTTATGGAGCTAGATGCAGCCATCCTAAACCGACAGAGAATTTGATGTGTGATGTAAAGAGAGGAATTAAGGGTAATCCCAGCATTTTGGTTTAAGCCAAAATAATATACAAACAATTGAACCTTCCCGACTTGAGTTCCTCTTGCAGATAATGAAAAAAAAAACCTCAACAGTGTTTTCTACTATTTTAGAAAAAATGGTCAGGAAAAGTCTCTTTGAGGAGGCACTAAATAAAGTGAGGGACCAACCTCCATGAGTATATGTGGACAGAACATTCTAGGCAGAGGGAACAGTCTGTACAAAAGTTCTGGGGCAGGACCAGCTTGACCATTTCAGGCCCAGCAGAAAGGCCACTGAGACTACAGTATAGTAACTGGACGGAGGCAAGAAACGGGGTGGGGAAATCGGGCAGGACCAACAACATTTAGGCATCACAGACATAGGCAGTGATAAGGAATTCGTCTTTTATCCCGAGAGTAGCAGAAATGTACTGGAGGATTCTGAGGTGGGGAGTGACATGATTTTCAAAGAGCTCTCTGGCTGTTTTATAGAGAAAAGAGCGGGGTAGCAGGGAGAGAAGAGGAGAATGGAATTCACTGGGGGGTAATTGCAGTGGGTGGGGGGGCGGTGCTGGGGATTTAGGCGGGGTGTGGGTAAGAAGTGGCCAGGTTCACTTACCCAGGCTAAACCGTCCGTCTGTGTACCACTCAGCAGGGTATTCAGCACAGTAAACCAGATAGTAGGCTTGGAGCAGTCCATTTCCCATGCAGAAGACAAAGCCTCTGACAAGAAACGCAGCTGGGAAAGGCCTCCCTCTAGTGAGCAATGAGTAAACAAAGGTCCTGAGATAGATGGGAAAGAAATGTCAGGATGCAGCGTTTAAAAAAAAAAAAAAAATCGAACAATGAGATGAAACAACAATTATATCAAACCCATTTTTAAGGGGCACCTGGGTGGCTCAGTCATTAAGCATCTGCCTTCAGCTCAGGTCATGATCCCAGGGTCCTGGGATCGAGCCCCGCATCAGGCTCCCTGCTCAGCGGGGAGCCTGCTTCTCCCTCTCCCTCTCCCATTCCCTCTGCTTGTATTCCCTCTCTCACTGTGTCTCTTTCTGTCAAATAAATAAATGAAATCTTAAAAAAAAAAAAAAAACCCATTTTAAAAATCATTTCCCTTGAACTTATGCAAAAAAGAACATTACTGGGGCGCCTGGGTGGCTCAGTTGGTTGGGCGACTGCCTTCGGCTCAGGTCATGATCCTGGAGTCCCGGGATCGAGTCCCGCATCGGGCTCCCTGCTCGGCGGGGAGTCTGCTTCTCCCTCTGACCCTCCTCCCTCTCATGCTCTCTGTCTCTCATTCTCTCTGTCTCAAATAAATAAATAAAATCTTTTAAAAATAAAAAAAATAAAAAATAAATAAATTTAAAAAAAAGAACATTACTCCTCCATAGAGCAATCCTTTATGCTATTATTTGTCTTGCTTCATTAAAGGCCATAGTAGTCACCATTGATTACCTTATTTTATTCTCAAACCAGCCTTGAAAGGTAAATTTCATCTCCATCCAGAAGTTAATAAATTCAATCCTATGAGCCCACGACTGGAGCTCGGCTTTTTATCAATCTACAAATGAAACCCAGATGACGCTGGAGAAAGGGAGAGCCTCGCTTGCCCCTGCAGTGGTGGGATGACATTTTGGTAACAGCCTTTCCACCGTACAGCTTTCTAATTGTCGCTCTGATATGATTTAATTACCGATATTGTGGCATTTCCTAGGAAGTGGACCGCAGAATCTCTCGAGAAAAGAAAGATATTCCTCTAACTGTTAGGAAGCATGAATCTAGAGGAAGCTGGGAAAATAGGATTAAAAATATATAAACAGGGCGCCTGGGTGGCTCAGTTGGTTAAGCGACTGCCTTCGGCTCAGGTCATGATCCTGGAGTCCCGGGATCGAGTCCCGCATCGGGCTCCCTGCTCGGCAGGGAGCCTGCTTCTCCCTCTGACCCTCCCCCCTCTCGTGTGCTTTCTCTCTCTCATTCTCTCTGTCTCAAATAAATAAATAAAATCTTAAAAAAAAAAACCATATATATATATATAAACAGCCTCAAAATAAGATTTGCCCAAGATATAATGCTAAATACTAGAAATCAACTACCTTTTCTTTATAATTTTTCTTCTTTTATGGTGCACTATAACAACCATACAGGTGAGTTCATAAACCTACGTGAACAGTTTAATGCATAACTATTAAATAAACACCCATATAGTCACTAAACAAGTCAAGAACTAGAACATTCCCTTCACCCCCAGAAGCCTCCCTCTCTATTCACCATACCACTATCATCCCAGAGCTAACCACCATCCTGATTTTTGTAAAAGTCACTTCCTTTTGCTTCTTCACAATTTTACCACATTTGGATTTATGCCTAAAAATATAGTTTATTTTGTTCATTTTTAATTCCATATGAATGGAGTCATATTCTATGATTCTTAGAGTATCCATTAATGTCTTATTTCTTTACCTCATCATATTTCTCAGATTCAAGCATGTTGTTGCATATAAGCTACAGTTCATATGTTTTCATTGTTATTACCATTAGGTATGAATATACCACATATGTTTATCTATTTTACTCTGATGGATATTTGGGTTGCTTCCAAAGTCTTGTAACCTCTCAGAGCTATTTCCCCATTCTTTAATGATTTTACATTTTATGTTTAAACCTTTGAAACATCTGGAATTTCTTTTGTTGTAAGAAGTTAGATAAGACTCCAACTTAATGTTTTTCCTAATGCTAGTAAACTTACTAAATTCTTTTCTTTCACTGACATGCACTCTCATTGGTATTACATACTAATTTATCATAAAAATTGGTTCTTTTTCTAGACTCTTGGTTCTGTCCCATTGACCTATTTATTGTCAGTACTACGCTGTCTTAATAATTGTACTTTTAATATATGTCTTAATACTAGGTGGGGCAGGGGCACCTTCGGCTCAGGTCACGATCCCAGGGTCCTGGGATGGAGCCCGGCATCGGGCTCCCTGCTCAGCAGGGAGTCTGCTTCTCCCCCTCCCTCTGCTCCTGCACTCTCTCTCTCTCTCTATGTCAAACATATAAATAAATAAAATCTTTTAAAAAAAATTAGGTGGAGCTCTTTTTTTTTTTAAGTAAACTCTACTCCCAACCTGGGGCTCAAACTCACAACCCCAAGATCAAGAGTTGCATGCTCTACTGACTGAGCCAGCCAGGCATGGGGGTGGGGAGGCTATTCTTATATCATTACCGTTTTTGAGGATTTTCAATTTATTCTTAATTACTTATTTCTTCATGTGAACTTTAAAACCAATTTACGAAACACCCCCTCCCAAATTTTAGAAATACTCTTAAGTATAAAAATTAATTAAGGGAGTGAAATAGCAGGAGGACCTCCAAGAGTTCACCCCTCCATAAAAGAAAAAAAAAAAAATTCAGAATCAACTTTTCAAAACTCAGTGTCAGCCAAAGGCTTACATCAACCTGGGGAGCATTTAAACAAGAGAATGTCTGGCTCTCAGGAAGGGCAACAAACACTGTGGCATTTTCATTTACCCTAGTCCCATTTCCCACTTTCCAGCTTGGCAGAACCTGAAAAGTAACAGCCCACATTCCCAGGATTGGAGAGAGGAAAATGGGGCTGGAACTCTTTCAAAGCCTCAATCCCAAAGAGAAATCATCGTTTAACCTGCCTGGTGGTTCCCTAGAAGACTCTGCTCAAAAGACTAGTCTTTTCCACCTCACTCAAACACACCCAGTGTTCATGTCTTCTGCCCATTTCTTGACTTGAAATCAAGACGCTTCTCTGAAGATGACATACAAATGGCTAACAGACACATGAAAAAATGTTCATCATCATTAGTCATCAGGGAAATTCAAATCAAAACCACATTGAGATACCACCTTACACCAGTTAGAATGGCAAAAATTGGCAGGGCAAGAAACAACAAATGTTGGAGAGGTTGTGGAGAAAGGGGAACCCTCTTACACTGTTGGTGGGAATGCAAGTTGGTACAGCCACTTTGGAAAACAGGGTGGAGGTGTCTCAAAAAATTAAAAATAGAGCTACCCTATGACCCAGCAATTGCATTACTGGGTATTTACCCCAAAGACACAGATGGAGTGAAAAGAAGGGCCATGTGCACCCCAATGTTCATAGCGGCAATGTCCGCAATAGCCAAACTGGAAAGAGCCAAGATGCCCTTCAGCAGATGAATGGATAAAGAAGATGTGGTCCATATATACAATGGAATATTACTCAGCCATCAGAAAGGATGAATACCCAACTTTTACATCAACATGGATGGGACTGGAGGAGATTATGCTAAGTGAAATAAGTCAAGCAAAGAAAGTCAATTATCATATGGTTTCACTTATTTGTGGAACATAAGGAATAGCATGGAGGACAATAGGAGAAGGAAGGGAAAAATGAAGGGGGGGAAATCGGAGGGAGAGATAAACCATGAGAGACTATGGACTCTGAGAAACAAACTGAGGGTTTTGGGGGGGGTGGGGGGACGGGTTAGCCCAGTGACGGGTATTAAGGAGGGCATGTACTGCATGGAGCACTGGGTGTTATACGAAAACAATGAATCGGGGATCACCACATCAAAAACTAATGATGTACTGTATGGTGATTAACATAACATAATAAAATTAAATTAAAAAAAACAAAAAGAGAATCATAAGAGGAAAAAAAAAGTACCCAGTGCTAAATGTTTCTGGGGAAGGGGGGAGGTTGTTGAATGTTTTACCAGGACAGTGGCCTGAGGCAAAGGATAATAGGTGGGGCAAATAACAAACCCACCAAAAAGCTTTAAAGGAAAGACGGAGGAATGCGATGCCCCTAAGGGGTTTTGAAAATCTCAGGTATATTTCTGGGAATCTAGACTGCCATGACATGCATAGGACCATGCATATGTTCAAAACAGACTTGAAAATGTCTTAAACTCTCACCTCTGATTGACCTTGAGGTTTGCCCAAGTAGCTAACGATGCTAAAAGCAGAGCTGTAAACTACGTGGATGATTACTGAAGGAGTCTCTAACAGGCACACAGAGGCCCTTGGCAAAGACCAGGAGACATTGGTTCAAGGTGTTTACATAAGGCTCTGTCCCATGGTTAACTGATCCTTGATCTAACCAAGCAGTGACTTCAGTAGCCACAACAATCAAGGCTTCAGAGATAGGGCGCCTGGGTGGCTCAATCGGTTAAGTACCTGCCTTCGGCTCAGGTCATGATCTCAGGGTCTTGGGATGGAACCCCTGCACTGGGCTCCTTGTTCAGCGGGGAGTCTACTTCTCCCCATGCCTCAGCCTCTGCTCCTCCCTCCACTTGTGCTCACTCTCTCTCAAATAAATAAAAATCTAAAAAAAAAAAAAAAAGCTTAAAAATGTCCTGAGGGACACAAAAAAAGACCTGAATGAGTGCAAAGGAACCACCTGTACCCGAACAGAAGGGTAATGTCGACAACAGCCTTATAAACATATTGTTACCAAAAACAATACGTTTACTGAGCTCTTATTATTTGTCTCGTTCTAAACACTTTGCATATATTGGCTCACTTAATCCTCACAGCCCTATGAGATGGGCAGATGAAGAGTCAGACACAGTGCGTGAGGTTAGGTGACAGGGTCATACACTAGTAAGTGGAAGACGCCCTACAATTTAACCACAGAGTGCACCACAGCCTGAATTTTCTCTTAATTAGCTTAAATTTTGAGATATAATTCACATCCCATAAAATTCACCATACTAAAGTATACAATTAAATGGTTTTTAGTAGATCCAAAAAATTGTGCAACCTTCACC